AGAGTGTCTCCTTCCTGTATGTCTTTTGTTAGCAGAATGATGTCATCAAGCCTGTCTCTCGATGTACTTCTTCGAACCTTCTCCCTTCCTCTGGACCGAAGTTCATACACTTCAGCATCTTCTTCCAACAGGTCACTGTCTGTACAATTCCCAAAGGTATGTAGCTGGCCGCTGGCCTGAGTTCCTGGGAGAGAGACAGTTCGATTCTGGTTCCTCCCCGCCATGATGTTATAATCTGGAGGAAGAGAAGACAAGACCTTGGAATGTCACGGACCCATTTCATTATTTACACGCATCTTAGTCTAAATACTAATCTTTCAAATAATCATTGTTTTTAGTTACGTGGTAAACTGAGGTTCAAGTTCCGTAACTGTGGCAGTGCATCCAACAAGCTGCCAGTGGAGACAGCATGGGAAGGGATCAGCTAACACACGCTTACACGCTCCGCTCAGGACTCCTGTTCACCGAGACACTCTACACAATCCCAGGTTTATAGGTATACACCACAGGTGTACAATACAAACATTTACAGACAATAATCAAGAGGAATTTCATTTTAAAACCATTATTTGGTACACATGTAATTTTGCCATTTACTAAAGACAAAAGTAGACCTGAATATTGCGATGTTCTTGTGCTTGTTCCTTTCTCTATCCAAATTCAAACTGCCTTGTGCCCCTGAGATGGCGCAGTGGTTGCTGCCAAGCCTGACCACCTAAATTCATCTCTGTGACCCACAAGACCCACACAGTAGAAGGAAAGAACCAATGTTCACAAATTGTCCTCTGACCTCCAAATCCATGATATAAAAAAAAATACATGAAACAATCAATCTTGTCCGAATTTTTGGTACTGTACAACACAGATAATTTTCAACATTTTTCAGAGTTAATCAATGAAATGATTTAGAGTTGCCAATGCTTAGAATGCTATTTTACTCAAATGTGAACACAAAATGCCAGATATTTATGGCCACTTCAGAAATTGTTCAAAATCTCAAATTCATTTAACACTTTCTCATAAAACCCGTCAACAACCCTAACAGAAATCCTTTTTTTTTATTAATTAGTTAATTTGTTTATGGAGTGTGTGCTGCCATGAGTAGAGGTCAGAGGACAACTCCGGGTACCTGGTTCTCTCCTTCCACCATGTGGGTTCTGGGGATCGATCTCAGTTCACCAGGGGTGGCAGCAAGGACCTTTATACACTAAGTCACTTTGCCGGTACTCTAAAAGCAATTTTTTCAACTAAACATAGTAATTACTATCCAAAAATATATTAATTTGACACCTATATGCTGAGACATGAAGTAGAAAATGTGAAACATCCTTGTTTTATAATGGAGGCATTCTGTTTCCATGGAGTGGGGAACTTTTTCCTGAGAGCGCTTGGTCAGCATCATGTGATCTGATGGCATACAAGTGCGCATGTGCAGAACCGGCTGCAGAGGCGGAGCTCAGGGCTGAGGGCTGTCAGGAATACCCCAGGTACCTGACTGCCTGATTCTCAATGATTTTTGGCTCTTCTGCTCTCAGAACCCTTTTACTTTTGTCAGAGTTTTTGTAACCCCACATTCAGATGTGTGACCCCGGATGTGGGTTGAGAGCCTGTTTAAAGAAGCTGTGATGTCTGGGTGTGGTGACACACACCTTTCATCCCAGCAATGGGAAAGCAAAGACAGGTAGATATCTCCATGAATCCACGGCCAGGCTGGTCTATCTACACGATGAGATTCAGTGTCAAATTTAAAAAACAAAATAAGCAGTGAGTCAATGAACCACATATCACAAACACATGGGGTAACTATATTCAAAACTAGAAAAATTGGGCTGGAGAGATGGCCCAGCGGTTAAGAGCATTGGCTGCTCTTCCAGAGGTCCTGAGTTCAATTCGCAGCAACCACATGGTGGCTCACAACCATCCTTATGAGATATTGTGCCCTCTTCTGGCATGCAGGGATACATGCAGGCAGAACACTGTATATATAATAAATAAATAAATCTTTAAAAAAATTAGAAAAATTACTGTACTTTCTATATCAAACCATTAAGTTCACTTTATTACTATGAAGAAAATTAGAAAGTTCTGTTTAATTTCTTAAGAATTTTCAACTGTTTACAACTTGTAGCTCTGAAGGAATCAAAACATGTGTTTTATAGACACAACACTCCTATAAATTCAAATTTCTTGTTCTACATTTGATTTCACATGGGATTAAATATCTCCGCACTTCTAACTCACTGGATCTTGTTAAATTCACAATTTATATGTATTACATATAGTTTAAGCTCTGGACCATGTTAAACTCAGTATTTATATTTATTACAGTATAGTCTATACTCACGGTTATAGGTCACAAGTTTGCTCCTGAACAGGGATGTTTCTTTGAAAGCTTTTATTTAACTTAAAGTTTTCATTGATTCAGTTTATACCCCATAAAGACAAATGGATTCTAGGCATTTATATTCACTTACACTTAAAAAAAAAATCAACTGAGAATTGGGCTAAGAAATATTCATCAATATTCATGAATATCTCTCCTTTACTTCCAAAGTCACTATCAGCATGCCTTCATCAATTTGGTCCAACTCTCATTAAAAAGAAACAAGCACAAGATCCTAAAGAACAAATTTCACATACAGTAGCTTGGCCTCAATTTAATCATCCATGTGAGCGAGGATAGACATGATAAGACAGGCTTTCACAGACAAAAACCAACCAACCAAACAAACAAAAAGCTTTCAAACTTCAATGTATCTTAGACTTGAAGCATCCATTCCTGAATATAGTACCATTCCCTAAGATACGGAAGACAAGAGGAGCTAGGCACAGGGATGGGTGTGACTGTTTTGCCTGTTAGTTTTCTTTGTCAATTAGACAGAAACTAGAGTCATCTGAGAAAAGGAAACTTCAGTTGAGAAAATGCCTCATGAGACTGGCCAGGAGATAAATCTGTGGGGCATTTTCTGGGCTAATGACAGATGTGGGAGGGCCTAGTCTACTGTGGGTAGTGCCATTCTTGGGCAGGTGGTCCTAGGATGTGTAAGAAAGCAGGCTGAGCCGGGCGGTGGTGGCGCATGCCTTTAATCCCAGCACTTGGGAGGCAGAGCCAGGCGGATCTCTGTGAGTTCGAGGCCAACCTGGGCTACCAAGTGAGTTCCAGGAGAGGCGCAAAGCTACACAGCGAAACCCTGTCTCGAAAACCAAAAAAAAGGAAAGCAGGCTGAGGAAGCTATGGAAATCAAGTCAGTCAACAGCGTTCTTCCGTAAACTGCCTTAGCTTCCCTCAATGATGGACTGTGATGGGGATGTGTAAGCCAAAGAAACTCCTCCCCAGGTTGCTTTTGTTCATGGTCTTTATCACAGCAACTGAAAGCAAACCAGGTCCAATTATAATGCATTCCTCTAAGACAGCAAAATCTAATGTCAACTACACAATCGTGTTATCTTGGTGAAGATCAGATCTTGCAGCAAGCATAGAAAAGGAGTGCCCAGGAGAGGAAGAAACCATTAAATGTTATGTCATGGAATCCTAGAATGCAAAATGAAGTCTAGAAGGATGTATTCCTGTTTTGGAGTCTATGGATGAGAAACAAGTTTTAAAAAAAAAGCAACGAAGTGGAGGTGGGGGCGGGAAGGAACAGCAAAAACAACTGACCCCAAATCCAGAGATGACAGAGTTTACAGTCTCTGTGAAAACATACCTGAGTTTTGAAAGATTTCAATTAATTAAATCTAGCCCTTAAAATCCAGTTTCTGGGCTTGCTTTACAGCAACACTGTATTGCTTTAAAAATTCTAAGGTCTCTATTTAGATACTTAGTAACTAATAGCTCTATACATTACTCACTTGATTCGATTGCTCCCACAGGTGCTACATTATTTCTTGCCAAAAACTAACACCCCTATTTGACAGCCCCAAACTAAAGAAAGCCCACACTTCACATCTCAGTAAGGCCTGTTTCTCCAAGGACAAGTTCTGTTTACACTTCTCCAGGTCTTTTCTTTAAAAAGTAACAACAACAACAATCATCCCACATCTTTAATCTAGGGAATAGTGTCTGTCAGTCTTGTGGACTCAATCAGAAGCAAGCTGTTTGCATACAAACGTGTATTACCTGGGGAAAAACCTGTTTCGTGTTGTCAAAAGCCAACCATGATCAGAAAAGATTCCACACAGAGCAATGTATACATAGGTCGTTCTGTGGCCCTAGGCACGCTGTCCCTGACATTCTCAGTACAGCTATGCGAAATTTACTGAGTGATGCCTAAAAGCCAGTTGAGACAAAAATTTATTGACATCAATCTTTTTCCTCCCGATAGGTTCCCAGCTAGGAATCGAAAGCTCGCATCTTCACGTACTAAGTCTCCTCCTCTAAAATGAAAGGGAAGCTGAATAAGCAACCTGGACATTCATATCTGACTAACCAAGAATTGGCTGTGCTGGTCTGTAGTCCAAGGGCCAAGCTACAACTTTGCCCCAGGCAGATAATAACATGATCAAACAACTAAAGATTAGAAAGTACAGAGTATCTGAGTCATCGGGCTCGGTTCTCTCCACCTCTCTAAATTCTCTATGGAATCTGGCTTCGTAGAACTAGAACAAGTTGCATGCTGACAAACGGCCTGAAAGTGATCATCAACGGATACAAGGGAGCACGTTTTCATCCGCTCAGCCTATAACCGAAAGCGAGCTCGCAAACCCCTAGGTACGACATGCTAACTGCTACTGGGTGTTCGGTCTTGACCTTAGGCAGGGCGGGACAGATGACTCCTAGGGGACAGACAACCCAGTTCAGCACTCGGGACAGAATCACCCCGGTCCTCTCCACCAGGGCCAAGTCTAAGCCCAAGCGACGACTACGAAACTTCCTCCCCGTCCATTGCACGCCTTTATTTCTATTTCTCCTTCCCCTCCGGTCGCCCCCTCCACGGATTACCGACCGCATCTCTGATTTGTAAGTCGCAGCATCAGCCTGGGACGCTACGGAGCAGACGCCGTGGGGACCGGCCGGCGGGGAAAGGGCCGCCCGGAACCAAGAGGCGAGCGTCCTCCTCGAGCTGGCGGAGCGCCCCGCGGTGACCCCGGCAGCCGTCGCCCCGCCCCGCCCC